AGACCTTTTCCTAGAAACCTTCCTTTCAAGCAGTTGAATGAAGATAAGAAATCCTTCATTGAGAGACCCTTTACGGAGGGGGAAATTAAAGCTGCTATTATCATGCTAGCGGATGATAAATCGCCTGGGCCGGATGGTCTTACCAATCTCTTCTTTGTTAAATGCTGAGACATTGTGAAGCAAGATCTATTGAAGGCCTTTCATGCTAATGCTTCTCTTCAAAGAAGCCTAAATACTACTTTTATCACTCTCATTCCAAAAATTGAAGGGGCTGTTAATGTCAAAGATTTTAGACCAATMGGTCTTTTGCACAGTTTTTATAAGATCCTGGCTAAAGTTCTAGCTGAGAGAATGGAAGGGGTGTTAGGAGGTGTTATTTCAAATAATCAAAGTGCCTTTGTCCTGGGGAGGCAGATGCTTGACTCCGTTCTTATTGCTAATGAGCTGATTCACTCAAGAAGAAGAGAGGGTGTCCCAGGATTGATTTGTAAATTGGACATTGAGAAGGCCTATGACCATGTCCATTGGAGGTGCATTGATTCTGTGTTGTAACACATGAATTTTGGGTAGAAATGGAGAAACTGGATCAAAGTATGTACAACCTGTCCTAAATTCTCAGTTTTGATTAATGGTCAGTTGGCGGGGTTTTTTGATAGCTCAAGGGGTCTGAGACAGGGTGATCCCCTGTCCCCCTTGCTCTTTATTTGTGTTATGGAAATTCTTATTTTGTTTTGTAAAAAGGCAGCTGAGTCAGGTGATTGGGAAGGTTTTTCAATCTCACCTGAGGGGGAAAAGGTCAATATTCTCCAATTTGCAGATTACTTTATGCTTTGTGGATGCTTCTCCTACCCAGTTGGATCTTGTCCTTGGGATTTTAACCTGGTTTGAGGTGGTCTCTGGGCTTAAAGTTAATTTGAACAAAAGCCAAATCATTCCAGTGGGTTAAGTAATCAACTTAGATGATTGTGCTGAGGTGCTGGCTTGTCAAACTGATTTCCTCCCTATGAAGTATTTGGGTTTGCCCTTGGGGGAAAATTGGTTATCTTCCTCGGTTTGGGACCCAGTTATTGAAAGATTGGAGAGGAAATTAGCACCTTGGAAGGCAAGATACCTCTCTTTTGGGGGTAGGGTGACCTTGATAAAAAGTACCCTTTCAAAATTTCCCACTTATTTTCTTTCTCTTTTCCCCACTCCAGACAAAGTAGCAAAAAGATTGGAGCAGCTTTAGAGGAATTTTCTTTGGAGGGGTGGGATGAGGAGAACAGAATTCACCTAGTCAATTGGGACCAAGTTTGTCTTCCTAAGGCTGAAGGTGGTTTAGGAATAAGGAAGTTGAAGAGCTTTAATTCTGCCCTCCTGTGTAAGTGGATTTGGAGGTTCTCGGCTGAGAGGAAATGCTTGGTGGAGATCCCTTATAGCTGATAAATATGGGGTGGGGTGGGGCAACTGGAGAACTAGGGATTTTCCTCCAAATTGGGGCAATTCCCTTTGGAAAGGTATCATGGAGAATTTCTCTATTTTCTAGGAAGGGATTTCAGTAAAGATTGGTAAAGGGGATAGAACAAAGTTTTGGAAGGACTCTTGGTGCTTGGATGGCCCTCTAGCTGTTTCATTTCCTCTCCTTTTTCAGTGTGCTTCAAACCAAGATGCATCTGTGGCTGAGTGCTTCTGTTCGGCTGAAGATTTTGTTACTTGGACCCCCCCTCTTTAGGTGGAATCTATTTTATTGGGAGTTAGAAGAGATTATGGAGCTGATGGCTCTTCTTCAGAAGCAGAAGATAAACCTGTTCTTGGAAGACAAATGGTGCTGGAAATGGAATCCGGATGGTGAATTTTCTGTTAAATCACTTGCTTCTAAATTATGCAGCTTGGGCCCTACTGATTTCCCAGCTACACAGATCTGKAATCCTACAAGGCCATCTAAGTCCAATTTTCTGGTATGGACGATGGCCCTTGACAAAATGCCTTTCCAGATCTAATCATGTTAGGCGGGGCATTCAAATTTTGGACTTGTGGTCTTTGTGGGTCTCTTACAGAAACTACTGATCATTTGTGTCTTCACTGTCCATTCTCTCAGGTGTGGATGCACTTTCTAAAATCCATGGATATCGGTTGGGTCATGCCTAGGTCGGTTAAGGAGCTTCTCTGCAGCTGGAAAACAAAAGGCCTTAGTAAGAAAGGGAAATTGATGTGGAGGACCATCCCTGCTGCTGTCTTGTGGTCCATTTGGGCAGAAAGGAATAGTAGAATCTTCTGTAATAGAGCTCTAAAAGTCCTGACGATGTAATACAGAGAGCAGTGAGCAAGTTGATTTCTTGGATTTCTGTCACAGAGGAGTTCAGAAGTCTAAATTTGTCTTATTTATTTCAGTCTCACTCCTGGTGGAGTTTGGTTTGAATAAAATTATATTACCTTTTCCAAAAAAAAATATATATAATATTGATGCAAGTGTTTTGACCCATAGGATGGTTTCTGTTCATTTGGATTTGTATATGTGTTGCTAATTCACTGGTAAAAACATTAATATAAAGAAGTTATCTATTTTGGGATTTTTGGTAGGGTTCTCTTTTGTAAATTTTCCTACAGGATAGAGCCTTCTTGACTAGGGTGACAGCAGTCTTAGGTTCCTCCTTTTATAGGCAACAGCAACCCTGGGGGCATCCTTTTGTTGTTTTGTAGCTATCATGCTTACTCTGCACTTGTACTTCCGTTAATATGATTTGACTTTACCAATTAAAAAGAAGATTATAACATATGGTTTTTGATAATAACATACAGCTGCCAAGAAGTCATGAGAAAATTACACCACTGACTTTTTTTTTTGCTGTATATTATGGATACCCTTAGTGAGAAACATACCTTGTAAGAGTCCTTGGTTATGATAGTAATAAATAGTGTTGCCAGGAATAAATCCACATTTGCCTCACATTTTGAATCATGCATTGGGGCTTGAAGTCCATATGCCTTTAACATACTGAAGTATGATGCTAAAATGTAGTTATTATCTATCACTCAACTCAACATAGCCTTATCTGTACTAATGGGATTGGCAACTGATACTGAACCATTGTTCAACTCAATCATTAATCCAACTATTTCAAATTGGTCACATGAAACCTGTCATGCAGCTCATGCCAGTGTGCTCTATCAGAAGCTATGTTCTCTTTCAAATTATAGGTATTGTTTTTACCATTTCATACCATGTTTTCTTTGGTCTTTGTCTTGCTCTTTAAGARCCTTGTACTTGCACGAATTCACTCCTCACTTGTGCAGTCATTGGCCTATACACATGACTAAGCGATCTCAATAGGCTCTCCCTCATCTTATCACTAATTGGACTTACTGCTAAGTAGGGATGTCAATGGATCTTATTAAATGGTAAACCCAACTTGACTCGACCTAAAGAGTCAGGTTTACTCAAGTGTAGGGTTGGGTGAGGGTTTTGATTCTTCAACCTGAGTAGGGTATGGGTTTTCCTGAGCTGGCCCACGGGGTCATGATACCCCTACATAAAGGGTATACTTGCAATTTGGTATAACTTCTAACCCCATAATCCTTAAAGTTTAGGATTTCCTTTCATTTTTGTTTTGTTTTGTTTTATCTTTCTTCCACTCTGGAGGAAGTGACACCTTGGAACCAATAACCAATCCCAACTTAAATTTATTGCTCTTGGGTTTTCAAAATGTGTTAAAAAATGCAATGGAAGGGCTGTGGGTCGGTTGGGTTTAGAAACAACATGTTATCAAGTCAGGTTTGAGTGGGACATCGGAGGGTTGGGTTAGGATGTAGGCAAACTCATACTGAACCCGATGTGTTGGCATCCCTGCTCTAAGTCCTCTCTAACATGCTCATTTCTGATGTGAAATATGCACCAGATGTGTTGTTTTAGGCATGTGCTATTATTAAACTGTATTTATAAACACATCTAGTAATATATGTTTTGTTATTTATTTATTAAACCCTATAAAATGAGTGTGTATGACCATCAACTGGTAGCTGAAGTTGGTTTGTTTCTGGTCTAGGTGTTTTAACTACAATACCATAGCTCAATACTACCATTTTGCTTAGAATTGATTTAAAAATGACCATTTAGTTTAATGTCTTGTAGCTGGTTAATGTTTTAAACATCTTAGAATACATTCTGTTTCAATTTAGCTATGCACACACAACATTTCTTTGTAATTGCATAGTTATATAGCTGTCTAATTTTGTTTTTTTGATCAGTACAGCTAAGCTAACTATATTTGTATTTTGAGGTTACATGTTACCTGTGTAATAATCTTTTGTATGAATTTGGATTAGCTAAATGCAATGGCTGTGGAGGGGGCTGTGAAGCCAATAGTAACGCCCCACACCAGCCATAAATGCTGAGTGATTGGGTGGTTGTGGGCCATATGCATTTTATGACTGGCGCAGGTTATTATCATTGGTTCCACAGCCTGCTACATAGCCATTGCGTTCAGATAATCTGATCTCCTTTTGTATTTAAAGGGATCTTTTATCTTATTTTGCCATGTCAGAGAAGCATGGAATGTTGGGTTGGTGGGAAAATGGTAATCCTGTTCTGTTGTAGAGGTTCAGCCTGGACCTTTTCTATATCCCATTGGTAGAATCTGAGGCTATGGATGTGAAAATGCTTAATCCAATGTGCTAGTTTGTATTGTATATTTATTGCTGCTCTTGGCTGTTGACAGTAGGCAGAAGGTGAGGGAAAAATTACCTTCTCGTCCTGTTGTCAATAAGGGAGTTGGGTTCGTTGTTTACTGCTAGCATGCTCTCTTATCAGCGGGGATGTGACTTTCATTATTCTGATTCTGGTTTCCCCTTATCCAAATAGGTTTTTGATGGTGACCTACTTTTAGAATATTTTGTGTTTGAAATAGATCATACTTGTTTTCTTAGAATGATGCTGATGCCAGGCAGCATTACGTCAAGGGTGCTTGCTAGGAAGTGTCTTGTTTACTGATTGTGGTTGGGACTCCTGTTTTATTATGGTTCAGGATCTTTGGTACGGACAAGGGATATCGAAAATTGAAGGCACTGAAGAGCAGTGGAGCTGAAGTTGTTGTTGGAGACAAGCAAATGTAATGAGGAGAGATTTTTGACCTCTCTGACCGTCAGAGAATGCTTTCTAGGTTAATGGCATCCCAAAATGGTCTCTTTCCTGCCTACCAAGCTCAAGGAAAAAAGATCTACCTCTTCCTCATTTTCCCTTCGTATCCTCCATTTGTTTGTTTAGTTTTGGTAGAAAGGCAGGTTGTGATTTTAAGTGTGCAATAATGTGGAATTGTTGAAAGGTCTTTTGTTGTGGACATTTTGTGCTCTATCCCATCCCTAGCTTCTTCTGCTTTCTTGCTCGTTCTCATGTCTACCCACAGGCTTCACTTGCTGGTGTGTTGGTTGCTGAACCACATAATATATATATATATATATTATATAGACTAAATCTCACAAATGCTTCTTTAGGCCAAGTTTTGTGTTTTGAGCCTCGGTACTACTGTTGGCGCCTTCTGGTGGATTTCCACTTGGAGGGATGTCAAGTAGTCAAGGCGGATCCACCTCATGACCCTTATACTTGCCCAAAAGTCATACGTGGCTGGAGAGAGGCCATTTTCTTCAATATAGGTTTCTGCTCGAAATAAAATATTGTTGATCTTCCTACATGACAAGTAATCATCATTTAACAGAATTGACGGTAAAATGGATGTATTCAAGGCGTATCCCATTCCTATCTTTGCCAAAGTTGCGCTTAGGATTCCCGGTGGGAATTTGTTCTTGTTCTGGGCGAATGTTGCAACAGAGACAACACGGCCAGGACAGGACTACTACTAGGGGGGACAAACAAGAAATGAGGGGAACCGCATGGACGGGGCGCAATCAGAAGGCAAGGCAAATACCCAATTCAGTAGCCTTTTCTCTCTCCTACTATTTGTGATTTTGTGTCAACACTTGCAACTAGAAAATTCGACGGTGAGGAGTGAGGAACGCGGACTAGAGACATTCCTCAACTACTTCGATTCGAATCTTTTTGTGGACCTCAGTTACTCCACCCAGACCCAGAGTGGCCCACAATTCCACATACTGGTTGAAAATAACTGTACATCTTTGATTTATAAGAGTGAAGGTTTCGATTTTCAAGAAAAGTGTTTTTACTTTTTTTTTGCGATATGTGGCCGTTCTATGAACTACGGAATTATCTGGTGAACTTGGATTCGGTCCTCAGAAGACTGTTCACACCGTCCTCACAGCCACTTCGATCTGTGCATTGGGAATATCTCCTTGTGAATAAAAACATAAAGATATTTCCAATACACAGTTGCAAGTGGCTCTGAAATCTGAATACAGTGCGAGCCCGGTCTTGTAAGGACTGAATTTGATCTCCTATCCGGTCGTTCATACATGGATTTTCTCAGTCAAGCTGATAACAAATGCATAAAGCATTTGGTAATTGGTACAACATACAAACTAGATTAACTTTATGATCATCCATTTGCTACTCTTACCTCAAAACGTTTCTTCACAAAAAAGAGTTGTCTTGTTTCAAGTTTCAATTGATCTATACATTTCAGATTTCCCTATTTCTGTATATGACATCTTCAACCAACACCTTGCACAAAACCAAAAATTTTGAAGAAAGAAGTGCAAACCCCAATAGAGTTCAATCAATGAATTGAAAATTGAAACACTTGACCCAGCTTTTGCCCAAATCTGGCAGAAAGCTAAGGAGAGGCAGAGGTGACTACTGACTAGGCAAAGGCCTACATTCAACACTCGTGGATAGAAAGAGGAGAAAGGTCATGAGAAAGGTATGGGGCTATATTCCAAGAACGGGAAATTGAACCCAAATCAAAGATTCTTCCTAGGAAGCCTACAAGGCTACGATTACATTATTCAACCAAGGACAGAAAACTTTTGAAAATTGAAGGTTGTAGATTCAGAAAATGCCTACAACTCCATGCATGTCTAGGTGTCTCCAAGGATGAATTCCATCTATGAGCATGTAATCTCTTAGACTTAGACAAATTAAGTTTGTAAGGCCCAAGAGAGTGAAGAGCGAAGGCCCCTCTCGCCTTTGTTTCAAATCTACCCTACTCTATGGTAATCTCAAAAGTTCAGCGTCACCTTCACATTACTCCTAAAATATTTGTAATTGTAAGGTGCTTCTTTTTTTGTTTCCTTATCTCAAAGTCTACGTTGGTCCAATATTCTGAGCATTTATACTACAGAATTGGAAATTCCCCCCTTTGATATTCTTTTTCTTTTTTTTTTTTTTCAGAAACAAAGATAAGAAAAGCAAAAGAAATCCCAAGATTCGTCTTAGATTCCCTTTCATTGATCGTTACGTAATTTGGTTTGCCCCTGTGAGAGGAGGCCGTGGATTTGCATTCAAATCCTACCTCAGATCGTGCAAGGTCCCAGAGGAGAAAGGGCTGGGAAGAAAGGTTATGGTATTAAACCAGGTGTTTGGTTCTTGTTGAACCCAAAAAGGTTATGGAATTTTCTTTTGTTTTTTGATTGCCCTGAACCTGTCTTCGCTCTATCACTCAGATATATCATTCGATGGGTTGGATCTCGTTTACAGTCTTTACCAAAATAATTGTGTTTGAAAATTGAAAGTTGGGCAAAGGCATAAAAGGATGTATGGTCTTCTTATTTTCTCTTTTCTCTTTTACAAATAAAAGCAAGTTTACAACTTCGTTTCTTTTTTTGACATTTGATAACTGCGATTACAACCTAAAATGGCTTTATCCGTTTCTTTCTTCGCGTCACGCTGTTTCCATGTTTTAAGTTACTAAGTTTCAAGCAAATGGCCTCTTTCATGAGATAGAAGGAGACACTTTTCTTCTCTTCTCATACTCTACTTGGTTGGAGACTTGGAGTAACGTAGTGAAGAGGTCAAGCTTAAATAGAAGAGTTTTAGGTGTAGACCGTGTAGCTGAAAGCTCAACCATGAAACACTAGAAAGCCCACCCTCCCTTTAGTGGTTTCGTCACCACCTAGAAAAATTCAGCCGGACTCGTGATGATATTCTATCAAACATGGATCATGGATGTCACGGAGCTTTAAATCACACAACCATATATATATAAATATATATAACCTTGACCCTCACACCACCCCATGAGTCCATGACCACCACGTATTTGCATAAAATACCTCTGTTTACACTTTATCCTGTGGGGTGTGGAGGTCCGTCCATGACAACCATGATTTCTATGGTGTTTGGAGGTCATGGGGTGTTTAATTTTGTCCTTCCTGATTTAAAGGTCCCTTGATCATGCTTCATGGTTGTAGGATCTCTGATTCGCTAGAGTTGGGGGATTAACAGAGGGGGATCGACTTCCTAGTTGTATAGGCCCATGAAGCAAAAAAAGAAAGAAAAAAAAAGCAAATTTGGGTTCAATGGCATATAGGCCAATTTACTTTATTTTATTACTGTATGGTAGCTTTTCTTTTAAATAAGTGCAAATAACATGAGATAGTGATTATCTGTATGTAGCTTTTCTTTATTTTATTACTTTATTCTTCAAAATTGTGTTAGAGTTTACTGTTAACTATAACCTTGTAYGTTGTCGTGGGTCTTGAAAATCAATGGTCATTCAAGTTAGGGCTGTTCATAAGAATGTCCAATCCGATCAAACCGATCAACCCAGACTGACCCAATCCGATTCGGTCGGGTTTTCATCAGTACCGATCGGTTTTGGGTTGGACAAATATTTAAATCGATATATCGGGTCGATTTCGATTTTCTTGTGTGAAAACTGAAACCAACCCGACCCGAGCTAAATTAGTCTTCTACTCGATAGTTCCTAGTTTGAGTAGTTTCCTACTTAACTATAACTAGTCTTCTACTAGAACTAGAAGGCTCATTAGGCAATTACAATTAGAATATGCAATCTATTCTAATTTCTAACTTTCTATAATCTTTTACACCAAATATGCAACCCATTAGGCAATTACAATTAGAATTCAATTAGGTGTCTTTTTATACAGGAGCAAAACCGAAATCGACCCAAACCGACCCAACCCGATTCAAACCGACCAGGTCGGTTTGGCCTATCAGTGGGCCGGTTTCGGTTTCCACCTCAGGTAACCCGACCAGGTCGGGTCGGTTGGGAAAACCCCAATAAACCAACCCAACCCGACCCGTGAACACCCCTAATTCAAATAAGGAGTATCTATACTTGATCTCTTACTTTAAATTATTCTTAAAGAAAGAAATAGAATGGAATACTAAATACAATAGCGATTATCCATTTGAGATATGAAACAAAAACCCTACTTTCCCTACTTTTTTTTTTTTTTACAATTCGAGAATAAAATCCATTGCAGAGTCTGTCCAGGAAAATTTAAATCCTGAGAGAAAAGAAAGCAAGAGAATACAAAATACAGTGGACTCTCTCCAGACACCAAACCCCCAATAACCAAAAGACCCAAGCAACGTCAAAACCAAAAGCTCAGGATTAGGAGCATGGATCCTTTATAGATTTAAGGTGAAAAAAAAGTAGTTAAAAGTCAAGCCCAACATTCTAGAATCCTTCAACCCCAATGCACATTTCCGCCATGATGGCCTCCACACGGGCAATTCATTTTTCTTACCACAGAAGCACCGGTGTAACTGCAAATAGGGGGTGCAATCTGGGTTGACAATTGAATTTGTTACAAGTTTTTCAAATCGAGTCCACTTTTCTTATTAGTCTCCTCTTGCTTTTATAAATTAATTAGTCTTTTTGTTCATTAAGTAATCTACTAATTTCCTCATATTTTTCACATTATGGGTGGACATGGAAGGGGATCTGTTCTTCACACAGGGTGTCTCACAGTTACATTCACTGTGCATTAGGAATATCTCCCATTACGGAAAATATTCTTAATRCATAGTAGGATGTACGTGTGAGGTCGGTATAAAGCGTCCGAAGGTAAGGAACGAATGGGATCTGTTCCTCACACTTGGGCGCTTCACGTACACATCTATCATGCATTGGGAATATCTCCCATGAAAAATAACTTACAAATATGGGAGATATTCCTAATGCATGGTAGGATGTGAGTGTGAAACGCCCTATGTGAGGAGCATATCCTGTCTCGCAAGGAACCATATGGATGGGCCCCACACTATATTTGTGGAATCAGACCCCTTTTGATCTTTGATGCGACACCCCGCACTTGACCTGGCCCTCCTTCTCCTTTCGCCCTTGGGTATCCCTCCCTCCTTTTTCATCCCCCCCTCTCTCTCTCTCTCAACGCATGGATTTGAAAACACCAATCAATTGATGCTTTGATTGATAGAATGCAACCCTGGTGAATTATTAACTATTATTTTTTTAAGGAATAAAAAGAACAAATAATGTAGGATCCTCATCGTYGTCTCCCTCTGAATTGGATACGTGAAATTGAATTTGCCTGCTTGGAATTTGGAAATAAGTAAAAGATAAGATTAGAGAGCGGTGATTGTGATTGCCGTGCATCAGGACTCGTCACATCCACCCCTCGACCTCGGATCTATGGGATTGGTTGGTCCCCCCACCCATTCAGAGAGATCTCTACTGTCCATTTCTCACACCACGTGCCATATAGGTTAGAGGTGGCAATTTTCCCCGTTCCCGACAGATATCTGGGCTCTCCAATCAAATGGGGTTGGGTATAGGGGTATTTTAGTAGGGTTGGGGTCGGAGATGGGGTTATCCCTGAATCCCCAGTCAGGTTTGAGGACGGGGATGGGGAATGCAATCCCTGCCCCGCCCCGACCCTAGTTAATATATATATATATAATATAATATATAATATTTACTATTCATTTTTTAAAAGATTAAAACTTAAAAAACATTGTACACAGGACACTTCAAGTCTTCAACAAGCAGAGAAGTGGAAAACTCTAAAGTCTGAACCCCTAGTCTTCTTCCTTCGTCTTCATTGTCGACTGCCATCGCTGTCGCCACTCGCCCGTCAGACATTGGATGTTGTCGGATGCCTATCGTCGCTGACTACCAATCTACCACTCGATGAGAAGGTGGAGGAGAAGTAAAAGGAGAGAAGATATGAAATTCTGAATGGGTTTCTCGACAGATAATCTGAAAGGATTTGTCTTGGCTCTTCTCTCAAGTGGGTTTATAGGGGCAAGCTAGTTTTATAATTAAAAAGAAAGGTCTTAGATGTGTTGTAGCTTCTTCTGGAGATTGAGCAGTTGAGTTCATTTGATTTTTATCGACAAATGGTAGTGCTTTGGTGAGTTATTGATTTTCTGACATGGGTTTCTGTTGATTCTTTGTTTTTTTTCCTATTTTCCTTTTTTCCGGTGTAGGAGTTGGTGGTATTCGTATCTTTTGGAGCCCTTGTGGTGGCTATTCGTATCTTTTGGAGCCTCTATTGATTCTTTGCATTTGCTCCAGCTGTTCTAGGACTAGGAGTCTGGATTTTGCAGTGACCCTCGGGGATTCGAGTCTCCGATGAGAAATTCATCCTCGTCGAAGTCGGGGATGGAGGAAGATTCTTTTCCCTAATAGGGATCAGGGACAGGGATGGGGGGGGGGGGTTGATTTGGTGTCAGGGTTGGGGATGGGGAAGTAATCCCTGCCCCATTGCCATTCCTACTTAAAGTAAATATCAAATGAGAAGCTAAGAGAACCTAGGGTGACTTTGGCTTAGTCAGTACAAGCCGGAGCTCACAACCTCTTGCAACTTTACATTTGGAATATCTCCCATTAMATAAATCAATACTTACGCTTCAAAAACTAAAAAGACTGTTTGAACGGATTTTGCACTCACTGAAGCCCAACTCCACTAGGGTTTTTATTACCCATGGGCCACGGGAGAATACCTTCTTTCAACACATAGCTCTTTATTAAATAAAACAACAAAGACTTATCTTACACAAGTTCGGCTTATAAAGGCAAAACCCCTTCGACTAACCTTTATAACCTTACATTAAGAATATCTCCATACTTCTATGCTTCATTAAGAATTCAAAAAGATGATTGAAACGGTGTGAGAATCTCATCTTACACGGAAAAACTTTGGCCAYTGGGAACCAACCCAACAATCTATGCTGTTAAGAATAAGGATGACAATTTTCTCCATCCATGACTAGAATGAGAATTGTTTGCCCCACCCTAACTCTAATTATATATATTTAAAATATTATTTATAATTTAAAACTTTAAATTATTTTAAATAAATTTACTTTTAAAAATACTATTATCTAAAAAATTTTTAGATATTCAAGTCCGCATAGGAAAACATCGGAGATCAAGGATAATAGACAAATTTTATCCCGATGAAGATTGGGGACAGAAATAGGATTAATTAAATATGATCCCACCCTGAACCCAAAACATTTTTGAAAATGCCACGTTACCATAAAGTGGGGTAAAATAATAAGGGGTTTTTATAGTTCAGTCCACCCCTAGGGTGAAGCTGATGAACTATTAATGCTAAATTCAGAGAATAAGGGTTCAGCCCAGGGTCAGGCTTAAATTAGGATAAATGCCAACTCAGAATTTATAAAGGGGGTATTTGACATTTTAAATGTTTAAAGTTCTGCAGTAAAATTCAGAAATCTGCTTTCAAATTGTGAGGTGGAGGATTGCAGTCCACACTTATCCCAATTGCCCCTTAAGGATAAACATGGGTGTGAACCGATGATCGTCCGGTCTAAAAACGTTCTCAAAAGCAACAGCCAAAGCTAACTCCTTACCGAAACCGGATTCAGCAAGTGTGAAGACCCGTTCGAACAATCTTTATAGATTCCCAATGCAAGGCTGAAGCCGATCTCCTCCTTACACAGAAGGAAGAACATCACAGTTTTGTGACACCTGTCAAAATTTTCAAAGAAAATAAAACCAGCCGGATATTTATTGGGAAAATAGTATATGGGCACAAAGTAAATGATTTTAATTATAATGGGAGGACAGATGGCACAAAACTGTGATGTGTCATGTTCGGCGTACCACACAGCGACTGCGCACCAGGGAAAAGGGAGTGTTTCGTATTTCGAACTCATTTAGTCATTTTCCTTCCCGGGACGCTTTGCTTTTTATTCAAAACAAAACTTTAAAACGTCATTACTCATTAGTTTGGAGTTTACTCCCCCTAAAACTATCACATGACAACGTAACAGACCATCTCATCATGATTCATGATTGTTGATTGATGCACAGCTAYGAATATTTCTAATTTCTATTTTATTTATACTTTCTGTGAGAAAAAAAAAATACACAGAGAGAGAGAGAGAGAGAGAGAGTGATAGAGAGAGATTCATTCACTTCAAGAACCGAACCAGCGAGAAGAACTGGATTCCTCCATTCACAATTTCGCATCCACAACTACCAGCCATCAACTGTATCATTTTTCTTTTCCATATTTTGTTTCTTCCTTCTCTTCTTTTGTTTTCCTTCCATGTCCCAACCACACTCACCAACCCTCTCCTCCCACTTTCCCTCCCAGAGGAGAGGAGCTTCAGCTTCACCCTACCAATTTCAAGGATTAACTAAAAACCTAAAAAATAATTATAAAATTAAAAAACAACGATCGCGGTTCGCGCGGGATCTTTCTTTTTTTATATGTAACGATAGAAAAGACTGTATTGCTACGTGTCACGCCTGAGATCGATTACGACTACGCTCACGTTGTCCGTACTATTCCTCGCCAGGGCCAGCTTCGTGAGCAACATTGACGCGTCAGAGCACGCCTTGTCGGAGCTTTCTCCGGCCACCCCTTCATTCACTTCGTTCCCCGGAGACACGGGCGGAGACGGTGCCTGCCCGCCCAGGCACATGCGAGCTATGCTACACGCGGTGTCGCTCGACACCACGTCCCACAGTCCGTCGCTTGCCAGAATTAGGCACTCGTCCTCGTCCGTCCGATCCGTTACCGTTACCTCCGGTTCCGATATCACGTATGGCTTCAAGTAATTGTCTCCTGCGTACAACCACCGTAAGCGAAATGGCACAATGAACTGCATTGCACAGAAATTACAACCTAAAGAACGAAGCTTCCCAAATGGCTTACCGATTGCTCTGGACATAGCTAGAACTCCGAGAACCCGTGGACCGTCCCAGTATATTACGCGGCCTCCAGCTGCTTGGATTCGAAGCAGTTCATCTGGTCGATCAGGCTGTCCACAACAGTAACAAAGTTGATTAACAATCATCTAGTCCCTAATTGCCCAGCTTCAACTTCGTAAATCTACAAAACAGAATAATAGAACAACCCATCAACGACAGAGACGCTCCGATCTAGCCCATCCGAAAGGGATGGTCTGATCGAAATAACGTCGAATGACAGCCCCTAATAATCTCTCCCTCTGGCCCTCAGTCTGTCTCTGTAAGAAAGAAGTACAGCCTAGCTACATGGTGTGACTCGGTGAAGGTCTGAACTCTGAAGCCATCATGGACGATGGGACGGGAAGCAATTTCATAATTTCATTTTGCGCCGAACGGTATGCCTCCTGGCGCACTTTAGCAGTATGAAACCCGAAACAAAAAAAAGTCCCAACTCCAAGTGTTCCTGTACCAGCCGGAATACTCGGTACATCGAACTTTCAGATCTAAAGGACACCGCCAAGGAGGTAATCGACTATTTTGATTTGGGACAGTGATTCGAGTTGAATTTAAATGAAGAATACAGAAGGAACATTTGTCGCTCTGAGCCCTAACCTTATGATCAGTAGAGAGAGGGACGGCTTTGCGGTTGCGGCTCAGCACGGCGCGGGAGTCACCGCAGTTGGCGACGACAATTTTTTCCGGCGTGACTATGGCTACGACAGCTGTTGATCCTACGGCATCGCACTGCGGCGTCTGAAGTTCGCACCGGCAATTGGGATTCAACACCGCCTCGTAACCGACTAGTACCTCCTTGTCCATTCGAGAGAAGCTTCGCTCCATCGACTCCTTCCACTCGATAGATGCATAGCCGTTTTCTAGCTCTTCCTTTACCACCTCATGCATCCGTTCTTTACAAGACTTAGCCACCTACAAAAACGCAGAAATTGACATTGACGTCAGCCCTATGAAAGAAGAGACGGACAGAAAGGAAGAGAGATCATCTGCCATTCCAAAACGGAACTCGGATCATTACATGAGAGCACCCATGGCCGTCATAAACGCCGAAAAAATGCAATCCCCCCGGAGTCTGATGATCTCGACGGAAAAACGAAGGGTGGATTGCTACCGCATCTTCCATGTCTCTTCTCCGGCCGCAAACAGATGTCATACCGAACTTAGGATGTTGGTCCAAGAACAACGGCTCGACCAGAACAGGAGCCGGTGGCTCACTCGGCCCTGAGATTTCCTGCACCGATAACCGACCTGAACTCGAGTTAGAATTTGTGTCGGATTCAACGTCCTCCGCTGCCGAACGATGTTGTTGTACCCCATTCATGCCACAGTTCTCAACTGCGTTCTCGCAATCCCGCGGCGAAACGGCGGTAAAAACATCCAGTCTTGGGCGTTTCCGGCCATTCTCTTGTGATATGGACACGCCCGCTATGAACTTGAACCGTCGAATCTCCATCCTCCGGCGCCTTGCCGCTCGAGGATTTGGCTCGCACGGCGCTGCTGTTTCACTTTCACTAACAAATCCGCAACATATTTCCGCCATTACAGTTACTCCACTGACCTTGACAACAGCCGAAAAAGAGATGAGCCCTTAATACATAACAAGGAAGAAAGAAGAAAACCAGAAGAGCCTAAGCCTCCGCGTTTCCTCCCTCTGAAAGTATGAAAGCTTGAAACCCTACAACAGCAACAGCAGTATTTCCAAAATTGAGCTTTGGGCCTCGCCGGCTTTAAAATGAACTCTTCTCTGCTGGAGACGAAAACAGAGAGACATTGGGGATCACTCTCCGTCTTTAAATCGACTTCCACGGACGGCTTTGTACAGGGGGGGGGGCCTGCAACAGAGGAGGCCTTCTCCCTGGGCGAAGTAGCAACGGGCAGCTACCCGTCACCATCACGGGCATATCTCGACAAGTACAGTTGGTGTGACGTAGTGCTTCTATGCCTACATGAACGCATCTCCACCGTCCATGGATGCTCTTGTTTTCTCTCTCCTGCTTAAATGCCTAACGCGTGTTTGTGCTCGTTTGTTACGAGAAAACGTGGCTCAATTAGATTCCAACACGATAACTGAAAGACCTTCCTTTTCTAACACGCATGTGGACCTRGGTGACCCCCTCCTGGAATTCGCTTTTTAGCAGCTTCTTATTATGTCCTTGGTAATTTAATGAGCAAAGATGTTAGATGTCGACACTTGGCTAAATCCTAGCCTACTAGATCGGGAAAGTATTTGATTAATCGCCCTTTATTGCCCCCCTCCTGTTGTTTGATTGAAAAAGTGGACCTATTTTACCAAAAATGGATTAGAAGAGTCTACGTAACGGTTGCAAATTTTGACACTTATGGGCCCACATGCCTACATCAAAGACGCTTTCTGAATATCTAGGGTCCTTGGGCATAACACGTGTCCGTATGGATATGTTTCCGAGACGCGACCTCGTTCCTAGCGCATTACACGTTCGAACATCAGGTTTCGCGGTTTAAATGCGTTGTCGTTACGGATTTCCCTTTCAAGTTCAAAGAAAGGGCCAGTCCACAGATCGAGAAGGGAAATTATGCAGGGGTTTTCCGAGTTTTAACCGTTAGATCGGGAGTGAAGTTCCTGTTCGAATATGGGGATCTAACGGTTAAGGGGTCAGCATGAGGTTGCTCTTGTGGTTCATTATATTATACAAAAAATTTAAAAATTTATTTAAATAAAAAATAGATTCAATAGATTCCTGCTAACTTGCGGGATTGATGCAGAATTTCCGGATTTGTAATCTGGTTGGGGTTAAATGTTAGGAAAATGAGTAGTTATTAGTTTTGTGTAAAACACATGGGCACCATTTACTTCTCCAGCTGGACAACGGAATTCATTTAGTTCTCTAGATGGACACCGGCTTAATACTTCAAGCCCAGTCCGGATTTAGGTTACATATATTTAAATTTACACATTTTGTGTATATAATATATATGTGCATATTTTATATTACATATTTTATATATAAATATTATCATATAATATGTATAATTTATATTATATGTAATATTTTAAATTATATAAGGTACAAAACATTATATATAAATATTATCACATAGCCTTGGCCTGATTCTATGCCTATGTCACTCATATATAAAATATTATATATCTATATATTAAATATCATAATATGTATATAAATTTATTTTATATATTATATATAATATAAATTATATATGTCATATTATAATATTTATATATAAAATATATAATATAATATAAAATAACATGTATACATATATATACATTATATACAAAATGTATAAATTTAAATATATGCAGACCGGACCTAAACTGGGCTTAAAGTATATCTGAATCTAAACCGGGCCTAAACACAAAATCCAAATCCAAACTCAAAATTTCCGGGCCAAACTTATACAAACCGAGCCGGGGCGAGCTGAAATGATCACCCCTCGGTGGAATACGAAAACTCAAGTCATTAAACAATCAAAAGGTTAACGAGTTTATTTACAGTTGAAATGGATGAAACACCCATATGATAATTCGTTGGATGTAGTAAGGCGGGGCCACAATCTGACAATCCATTGCYGTGGGTGAATCCTACGTACGTGCTTCATCTTCATGCCATCATCCCCTGCAGAGAAATATTGTGAGTCTGTGACCTCCGGAAGGACTGGAATTTTGGTCTAAATTTGATTTTGAATTTTTAAGTAACATATAGAATATTTAAATTAATTTTATTAATACGTGAATAGTGTATCTTAATTTTATATATGTACATTATATATAAACACTTCAGTGGCACGTGAAAAAGTGCATGTATAACATACGCACAAGATGAAGGGAGAACAACGAAAAAGATGAATAGAAAGTGCAATAGAGAAAAATAATGGATTATATATAAAATGTCCGCATGATATAGTAATGCTGTATGTACGTATATATATTAGCGGGGATTTATGCAATGTACGGGTTTTATTAAGCAAAGGCTAAACAATAAAAATACATAAAAATATATAATTGTTTTATATTTTTAATTTTTAAATAATTAATAATAATTTATATTATGGGTTGATAATGATATGAAAAAGATATGATATCTGAAAATTTTTGATCAATCAATTGATATCATAAATGTGGTAGCCAATCAGGTGTTATTTATCAAAATTCATGCGTGGACTTTGATTGATCAAAACTCTTCTGATACCATATCTTTTCCGCATCATTGATTTTTCCTTGTATTTTATATACTGCTTTTAATAATTTTTTTTACAATACAAAAATAATAATAATTGATTTCAGGCTTTCARCTATGGTTGTTCATCAAACTAATGAAACTGATCAACCTGACCAACTTGAACCGAATTGGTCATTTTTCTAGTATTTTCTATTAGCTTTGGTATATATATTATTTTTAATATAGTTTTTAATAAGTGAAAAAATTCCCATATTTCTTAATCTAAAATATTTTATATCATAAATTTATTTTTTTAATAATSCCACTATAATTTTTAAATTTAAATTTAAAATTTTAAGTTTAAATCTTTTGAACCAACAAACCAAACCCCAAACTAATACAACTCAAGTTGTCCGATTTTCACTAATGATCAATCAGCTTTGAGTGACCAACTCCCCAACCTAACAAGGGTTGATTTGCTTGGCCAAACAGCTTACAACCAAACAAAACCAACCCATGAACACTCCTAATTTCAGCTAAATTAATAGTTTAATATGTAAATAATAATAGTTTAATCTTCAATAATTATTGAAAATTTATTGCAAATATACACAATTATAGAAAAATATTAATAATGAAAATACAATAATTAAAAAATACAATAAATACTAAAAAATATATTAAATTAGTCAATAAATAGTCTAATCTCAAGTAATAGTTTAATTTCTAATAAATATTAATCAATAAATTATAAAAATACAATAAGTACAATAAATTAAACTTAAAATGTTAAACAACTGTAGTTTAATCTCCAATAATTATTAAAAAATTCTATTAAATAAAAATAAAAATATATTTATCACAAAAATAATAAAAATTAATTAAAATATAATAGATATTAATTTTAGAATATATTAATATATAACAAATATAGATTATGATTTTAAAATTATTATTAATAAATATTAATTTTTTTGAAAGTTATTTTCTAGAATTGTTAATTAATATTAGTGAAAATATCATTTAGTTATTTAAATAATCTCATTATTTAAATTTGAAATTATTTATTATTTATTGAATTTAATGATCCATAAAATTATAATTTATACTATTATGACATAATTTCGCTATTAATTTTGTAAAATATTAAATTATTATTTATTTGAATATTATGCTATAATAGTTTTGAGAAATTTTTTATATCTATTACATAGCTATTTAAAATCTAGTTATGTTATATTTCATTAGTTAAAATATTTAGTTAATTAAATGTTTATATAATATATAAATTTTTTTGTTATTTGAAGATTCTTTGAATTAAAGTTATTACATAATATTAAATATTTTGTTACATAATCATTTAKCTATTTTTAATATTTTGTTATTTAAGATATATAGTTCTTGAAATATTTTAGTTTTTTTTGTTAAATATTTATTATTTGAATAACATTTAAATTGATTAATTTGGAAAAACCTTATTTATATTGTTAGTATATAATTTCCTAATGTATTTTGTAAAAATATAAAATTATTAATAATGTGAATATTATTAGATCGATTATAATGCGGGAAAATGGGAAAATTCTTTGATACTAGAAAATTTTATATTTTAATTTTCTTTTTTTAATACGAGAAAATGGGAAAATTCTTATACTTCTTAGGTGGCATTTGATAGCACTTTTCAGACCTTTGAAGTCTGAAAATATTGTTTTTCAAATGTCACCTATGTGTTGGGTTGGGTCTGATTTTGAGATATGAAACCCAAGTTTCAGATCTAAATAGAAAAGAACCTCCCTAGGTGTTTATCACGCTAAGAGGCATTTCAAATGTGGGTGAAGGACAAAAGAGCCCCCATAGAAATTTGAAATGACCTGTAATGCCCTTTATATAAGCCAAAATAGGTCATTCAACTCCATCCTTGGTTTGACAAGGAGATTTGTTGTTGGGAAGTTCTGCTCTCTCTCTTCTTCTTCTCTACTCGATGACGCGACTCAAGTTACTGCTTCCTCTTCTTCTTCTTTAACGTTCTTTACATCCT